GTTTTATGCTCTGGGGTTTCTAGATGGAAGAATGTGCCTGGTTTTGAAAAGAGAATCTACAATGAACTAAGCAAAGAAAGAAAAGTATAAAACCCTTCTTTCTTGCTTGCTTGATTAGTCGTTGGCTTCTCGGGGTCTCTAACCCTTCTTTCTTGCTTGCTTGATTAGTCGTTGGCTTCTCGGGGTCTCTTTTATAGACCACCACCGATCAGCGTCCACCCACCTCCTAATCCTGCATCATCACTCGCCGCACACCTCGTGAGCGCAGCCCTCTCCTCTGTATATTCCTCTCCCCCTCGCTGTGATCTAGGAAGGCGGCAGTTAGGAATGGGAGGAGCTGTTCTGTTAGGAAAAATAAGTTTGGACAAAGGAAAAATGATCGTTCCTCGTCGAAGGGGCTCTTTGGTTTGCACAATCCTAAAAACCTTAGAAATAATGAGAATGTAGTGCCATACTGAATTTAGGGGATTTAAAAACATATGAATGAATTTCCCTATAATATTAGGTGCATGGTATAGTAGTCACAGAAACGGAGGTATGGAATTTTCCTCTGAAATTGTGCATGCAAAGTAAACCATAGAAAAAAAACCTATATTTTCTTCCTGAAATTAAAATAATCTCTACATCTTACTAGAACACACAGTTGTGGCACTGGTCGATCCCGACAAAATCCTAGCCAGCACTACAAGCATATTGAATTCTGAACCAAGAAACTTGCAATATGTAAAAGAAAGCAATCGAGAGAGAAAATTGAGTGAGACCTTTGCAATCAATCCAGAGAGACAAACCATAGAGTTGGTCAATGGTGACTTTAGTTGGATATGTAGAACTATCTGGTGGCCACGAAAAAACTGAGAGGCGCCTATGTGATGTTAAACCGAACAATTCAGAAAAATGAAGTCGCGATATGAGGGAAACTAGTATACCCCTTCATAATCCAGAGAGCTTTACTGTTACTGCATGCATATTACATAAAAACATGAAGAGTTTCATTTCAAGGAAATAGTATCACTGCATCAGATTTTGCAATGCAAATTGCATATAGAAGATTAAAAAAAGGCAACTAGTGAGCCCCTAGGTTCATATATGCATATTCTTACATCAGACAAGCCAACAATAATACAATGGAGACATACATTTTATAGAACCAACTCGTTTCCACCTAAAGTTCTCTGAATAATTTTAGCGCATGCGGAGAAACTGTGTCAACATCAAAACTTTCCCAATTTGCATCAAATCACCAAAATGTAATGGTACACATAGTTACCTTAGAATAGTACACGCCAACATCCTACCTCAGAAAAACAACTGAGACATGCAACCGTGGTTTGCCCCAGAAGGTTGCATCACTGGCATTAGCATCTTGCACTGCCAGTTTCAAGGGAATGCAAGTTGCTGGTTTGATCTGATTCACTTTATATGTTCAATTGAGGAAAAGATTCACTCAATATATTAAATTCAGAAAAAAATTCACACAACATTTCTCTTCACACAATACCCTCTATGATGAAAATTTATGAACAGGAAGCAATTGCATATAAGAATTTACCTGTACAGATTCCACGTACGGTGCTGTTCAGAGTGAAACGGAAATTTGATGTTAATTCCATCTTTGTTGGGTCAGCCAACCATGTCAAGAAACCATTTATAATTGTCTTTAATTAAAATATAGCAGCAAGCGTTCACATGTAAGTATTTAATTATCTCAAAAGTGATAGGCAAGAACTCAAAGTTTTATTATTCTTCACATAAGCCAGATTATTTCAAAAGTGGTAGCCCAGACCTTAAACTTTTATCATTCTTCACACAAGCCATCAATTAAAGTAAGAACATAAGAAGGTAAATAGTGAGTTACCAGAGATTCATATATGCTTATATCAGACGAGATAACAATACATTGGAGACATACATTTTACAGAACCAACTGCTTCCTCCAAACAATCTCTGAAAACTGAGTCACTATGTAGCAAAAGTAACTAAATAGAAGCTAATTAACCCAGGCTGGGCATGCTAAATTTAGCAAGACTTAATTGCTTCTCTGATCCAACATAAGGCATTCGGCTCCAAAGACATCTCAGAAATGAAGGATGAGCAGTAGCTCATACCAGGTTGGCATACTAAATTTTGCGGGACTTAACAGTTCTTTCAAACACATCTACAATGAGAACAGGACGAGATCTTTTGAGGTGAGCATACCCTTGGCTTGCGATCACATCGTCCATTCTATTCGAAGAGAGCATAAATTCAATGCAAGCATCTTTGAGGTTCCTGCAATTGTGCTGGTCAGCTAGAGCTAATATGGTCGCCACAGTCTCAACATCAAGACTCTTGCATAGCATCCCTTCACATATCCTGTTCATCCTTTCCATTGCATACTTATCTGCAGCCACGAGTAAGTGCTTGACCATTTCTCTTTTGTCATCATCATCAAGATCGTCCATGAAAGGCATTGAATCAGTGTAGATGAAGTGAAGAAATGCCTTGAAAACAGCAGGCTGCATGTCGTCAATAATTATGTCCTGTACACCTTTGTCCCCAATCGGACCATAGAACTCCGCGTTGAAGACCGCCGATCGCATCGCAAGCAAATTTTTATGAGCGGCAAAGACCTCCCCTTGAACCTTGAAAGTCACGTCTGCTCCTATCTTCCCCTCTAGCAAGGTTGCAAGATGATCCGAAAGGTCAGAGGGCGGAACAAGGATATCGAGTTCTTCCTTGATAACACTGACTTCACACTCGATCAATAGACAATCCTTCCTCAGGTACAGCAACTCTACTTCAGCGGTGGTCTTCATGAACTTTCGAGAGCCCCAACATGAACATTCACGGCTGAACACTCGTGGCGCTTTGCCGGGGAGCACCACAAACGACTGCCCACTAACCTGATTCAGAAGCATCAAGTTGTAGAGCGCCTTCACATCGGCGTTGTTGGTCATGAGCACGAGGAAGACAGAGATGTAGCCTTCGCTCCCCTCGTCTGCGCTTCCGTCGGGGTAGTAGCGGATGCACCATTTGTAGCCGCCGATGGAGAATGCCGAAGAATGGAGACATTTGCCTCTACCTAGGCCCTTAAGATGGCTGTAGCCAGCAATCTCGAACGCAACCTTGGCCCGCGACGTCTGCGTCTCTGCTGTGCACCTCGACGGCACCATCGCTATTGAACCCTGCGGTGCTGCCATGGTGGGAGTTGGGAGGAGGACGGGGGTCAGCGCGGGTTGGAGTCTCGGTTAAGACCGGCGGCGATGGGAGAGGTGGTTTTGCCTCCGAGGCCTAGGGCGAGCTGGGGAGCAGCGGCGCGACGGAACACGGGGCGGCGGCGGCGGCCAGATTTGGGGGACAAGGGTTTGGACGAGGGGGGCGAAATTGGTCATTCTACGGAGGTCGAGTGACTTTGGTTTGTGTGTGTCCGTCAAAAGTGGACTAAACTATAATAAATTACTTAATGACTAACCCAAGCAGTTTTCTGTAAAATAAACACATTTTAACATTTCCTTGAGGTAAACTCATTTGAACAAAATTATTTCGCACTTTTTTGCAAAAAAAATATATATTATAATTTTGTTCAAGTTACCCAACCGGTGAGTTTGATTTATCTTTTTTTTTTTGCAAAAGTGACCCAAATCTATTAGTATAAATTTCAACGTAGGTTCAAAGCACCGCACACATAATACAAATTTCATTGAGGTCTTTGGACCATCGAACGAGCCTATCGCCATCAGAACGAGCCCTTGTCGTTGCTCCCCGGTGGAGCCGACCTGATCTCATCAATGATAGCCGGGAAGTCTTTATGCTTGGGCCTTTAAGAACCAACACCTAGAGCCGCAGTCATCATGGTTAAACTCTTGAATCAAATTTGAAGTGTCTGACACAGGATCTCACACCCACGAGGAGAAAACCTAACCTCGTCGCCCCAAGGAGACGACAGAAATCTACGCCAGAGCTGCATCAATTTCTTCCAGACGAACAAACTAAGGAGGATCAAATGCCAAAATACCAACTCAAAGAATAAGCGTCGTGATCAGTCTGAGCTCCCCTCCCCCTCCCCCATGCGAATACTAAAAAACCTAACCTCAATTATTAGATGGAGCTAAGGCACCGGATTTCCCTTTCTCACCACCAGCCGTCGGAGCGGCAGGCAAAGGGGACATGAATCTGCGGGCTCACTGTCAAATACTCGAAAGGAAAAATTTGCCCTAGCCGCAACTTATACAGGGAAGGAAGGAAACTGTACAACTTGTATGTGACCAAATCATTAATTCAGGTATTTAAACCATTATTTTTTATCTCCAGGTACCGATACAGCTATAACAATCCATATATGAATTGCTTTCTGAAGACCCTTCTCATCTAAGGCAGATTCTAGGATACCGCTATGACGCCCCCTCGAAGTCTTACATCAATTTAAACCCCACATTTACAAACTAAGAAGAGGATTTCAGAAAGAAAAGATATACAATGACTTTGCACTAGTTGATATACAACCTTTTTACCAACATAGATACCTAGTACTATTCGTTCATATGGTACAAAACTTTAATGTTTCTTAACAAAAAAACAAGGGAAGCTGGGATCTAGATGTAGCCTGTCAGCCTCAGCATTTCAACCTTCCGAAACTTGAATCGCAACTTTCAACAACAACAAAAACTAACAAAATCCAAGATGGAGTAGATCTTGGGCCCGACAGACTGCATTGCATTGGCTCTCCCTAGTTGCAGCACTCACGAAGGAAATATACTTAAACAAACAAGCATTGTTCAAAACTATACTACAATCAAGTCAAAAAAATTCCATGTTCATTACTAGGGAAAGAATTAAATGTCTACACAGGGTAGCTAGATAATTCGCTTATCTGTAGGATGCACAGAATGACAAGGTATATTTCTCACGAGGCAGTATAGTAAGAACAAGTTCCTCTACGTGGTCACAGTCAACAGATAAAACCACTACCACAATGTAAGCAAACAGCAGTAAAAAGCTGTCTGGAACACATACACGAACAACTATACAGAAAGACAGTGTAAGCCTTGTCTATTCATGTGGCTGGAGACGGCTTCCACTGGAATACTACTGGTTCTGTAACTGCGTCGCAGGAGCTGGAAACATCTCTGACAGAGTCTTGATTATTTCTTCCACATGAAACATGGTCTGCATCGGTACTCTCTTCAACGAAAGCTCCCGCAGCCGCTCCTTGAAATCCACCACAATATTCACCTTTAATTTACCCACATCCCTCTCAGTAATGATGAAGATCAAGGAGATGGCAGAGTGGACGCCCTGAGAGGCCACATTCCACCCTCATCTTCCTCCATGATGATATTAACCAATTCCACAGCCTTGTCACAGATCATGTCCAGCGCCTCTGGAGATTTCGGCAGACGGTCGAGCAGGAGCAGGAACTCATCAGTGGCCATGAAGCATTCCAGCAGCTTATCAGGCACACTGTTAACATCGGCTGATAACTTGGCTTCCTCATCAGCTCAGAGTTCAAGGATTGACCAGTAACAGGGCAGGTATTTTTCTGTGCAGCGGACCACTGTTGGCGTGATTAGTCAACAGTCTGCAATCAAGCAAAGCAAAACGTGGTTACTGGGTCAATCCAAACGACGGGAGAGTTCCAGAAGATAATAATCACCAAAGCGAAAAACACTTTGAATAACAGTCCAATCACTTCTTTCAAGCAAACCATCTTGGATGTGTGCAGAAAGAAAAGTATAGAATCCTTCTTTCTTGCTTGCTTGATTACGTCGTTGGCTTCTCGGGGTCTCTTTTATAGACCACCACCGATCAGCGTCAACCCACCTCCTAATCCTGCATCATCACTCACCGCACGCCTCGTCGACGCAGCCCTCTCCTCTGTATATTCCTCTCGTGATCTAGGAAGGCGGCAGTTAGGAATGGGAGGAGCTGCTCTGTTAGGAAAAATAAGTTTGGACAAAGGAAAAATGATCGTTCCTCGTCGAAGGGGCTCTTTGGTTTGCACAATCCTAAAAACCTTAGAAATAATGAGAATGTAGTGCCATACTGAATTTAGGGGATTTAAAAACATATGAATGAATTTCCCTATAATATTAGGTGCATGGTATAGTAGTCACAGAAACGGAGGTATGGAATTTTCCTCTGAAATTGTGCATGCAAAGTAAACCATAGAAAAAAAACCTATATTTTCTTCCTGAAATTAAAATAATCTCTACATCTTACTAGAACACACAGTTGTGGCACTGGTCGATCCCGACAAAATCCTAGCCAGCACTACAAGCATATTGAATTCTGAACCAAGAAACTTGCAGTATGTAAAAGAAAGCAATCGAGAGAGAAAATTGAGTGAGACCTTTGCAATCAATCCAGAGAGACAAACCATAGAGTTGGTCAATGGTGACTTTAGTTGGATATGTAGAACTATCTGGTGGCCACGAAAAAACTGAGAGGCGCCTATGTGATGTTAAACCGAACAATTCAGAAAAATGAAGTCGCGATATGAGGGAAACTAGTATACCCCTTCATAATCCAGAGAGCTTTACTGTTACTGCATGCATATTACATAAAAACATGAAGAATTTCATTTCAAGGAAATAGTATCACTGCATCAGATTTTGCAATGCAAATTGCATAGAAGATTAAAAAAGGCAACTAGTGAGCCCATAGATTCATATATGCATATTCTTACATCGGACAAGCCAACAATAATACAATGGAGGCATACATTTTATAGAACCAATTCGTTTCCTCCTAAAGTTCTCTGAATAATTTTAGCGCATGCGGAGAAACTGTGTCAACATCAAAACTTTCCCAATTTGCATCAAATCACCAAAATGTAATGGTACACATAGTTACCTTAGAATAGTACACGCCAACATCCTACCTCAGAAAAACAACTGAGACATGCAACCGTGATTTCCCCAGAAGGTTGCATCACTGGCATTAGCATCTTGCACTGCCAGTTTCAAGGGAATGCAAGTTGCTGGTTCGATCTGATTCACTTTATATGTTCAATTCAGGAAAAGATTCACTCAATATATTAAATTCAGAAAAAAATTCACACAACATTTCTCTTCACACAATACCCTCTATGATGAAAATTTATGAACAGGAAGCAATTGCATATAAGAATTTACCTGTACAGATTCCATGTACGGAGCTGTTCAGAGTGAAACGGAAATTTGATGTTAATTCCATCTTTGTTGGGTCAGCCAACCATGTCAAGAAACCATTTATAATTGTCTTTAATTAAAATATAGCAGCAGCGTTCACATGTAAGTATTTAATTATCTCAAAAGTGATAGGCAAGAACTCAAAGTTTTATTATTCTTCACATAAGCCAGATTATTTCAAAAGTGGTAGCCCAGACCTTAAAGTTTTATCATTCTTCACATAAGCCATCAATTAAAGTAAGAACATAAGAAGGTAACTAGTGAGTTACCATAGATTCATATATGCTTATATCAGACGAGAGAACAATACATTGGAGACATACATTTTACAGAACCAACTGCTTCCTCCAAACAATCTCTGAAAACTGAGTCACTATGTAGCAAAAGTAACTAAATAGAAGCTAATTAACCCAGGCTGGGCATGCTAAATTTAGCAAGACTTAATTGCTTCTCTGATCCAACATAAGGCATTCGGCTCCAAAGACATCTCAGAAATGAAGGATAAGCAGTAGCTCATACCAGGTTGGCATACTAAATTTTGCGGGACTTAACTGTTCTTTCAAACACATCTACAATGAGAACAGGACAAGATCTTTTGAGGTGAGCATACCCTTGGCTTGCGATCACATCGTCCATTCTATTTGAAGAGAGCATAAATTCAATGCAAGCATCTTTGAGGTTCCTGCAATTGTGCTGGTCAGCTAGAGCTAATATGGTCGCCACAGTCTCAACATCAAGACCAAAGTTTT